TGAGGAAGAGGTGGAAGCGGGAGCGGGGGGAATGTTGGAAGCCCACTAGTGCAGATTCAATTCCCATTGAATTGAGGAGCTTTAGCTACTTGACTGTGTTGGATAGGAAGCATATTGGTTTTTGTATGGTTTATCAAGTAGACCCTAGCTCCCTTCTGTCACATTTCCCAATCAATCCGGGGCTAGGGTAAAAGTACTGCAGAGTTAGGGATAGTAGCAGGGAGTATGTGTGTGTGTGTGTGTGTGTGTGTGTGTGCGTGCACACGCGACCATATTCGTGTGTGTGTGCGTGTGCGTTTGCGTGTGCGTGTGGATAAAGCTACCAAAATGTGGCACCTATAATGAATAGTAATATAGGTGGAATTCTAGCCGTCAGATCTTCATCGGGTGGTTCGAAATACATGTCACTATCTGAATTTTAATTTTTTTTTAGAGAAATTGGATTGTGATGAAATTTTGGGCGTGTACCAAAAAAAAAGGGCGCACAATAAAAAATTATAAAACAAATATTTTCAAAATATAAAATGACCAAAGTATTCTTGAAAAGTTTTTATATGGTGCATGCTGGTGTCAAGTATATATGCCTGCCTAAAATTTCATTACGATCTGATTTCTAGAAAAAACATTAAAATTCAGACAGTGATATGTATTTTGAACCACACTATGAAGATTTGATGGTTGGGATATATATATATATATATATATATATATATATATATAGAAAGCTTGCATGTTGCTAGAAAATTATTCCTCAATGCTAGTCCGTGGTCACATTATGCACTTTTTTGCCAAAGTTTTGTGGTCCTTTGGGTAGTCCTCTAAACAATTTTTTAAAATTAGACTTCCCAACCCCAACATTGGATTGACCCCAAATTTGAAACTTATGCTTTCAAGTGCTATGCTTTCTGTCATAAAAATTTCAGTCCGTTTAGTGAGATATTTCTTAGGGCTCTTTTATAAATTTGGGTTGTTTAGGTGGTGATGTACTTTGAAAATTTAATCCAAAAGGCTGTGTCTAAGTCATCCGACATCCGAATGAGTTCGAATTTGGGATTAAGCCTGTGTCTAAGTCATCCGACAGCCGAATGAGTTCGAATTTGGGATTAAGCCTTTGAACAATATGCCTTTCTTTTGAAAATTTTTTGGACCATTCGGCCCTAGGTTTCTTGGGCATCTTTTTAAATTGAGGGCCCAATTTGGGCATCCACTTTGTACTTTCAACTTTCTAGGGTCATAACTTGGTCATGTAGTATTGGATTGGCCTAATTATTGCCGAGTAGCTTCGGGGTACTTTAGATTAAAGTTTAGAACCGTTGGATTGAAGTTTTGATCGTGTTTCACCACAGTTAGAATGTCCTATTTTTCTGGGTCGTCTGATTGCCAGTTTGAGCATGCAACGAGCTCAAATTTTATTCGTTTTAGGCTGGAGGCTTCCTTTCATTGTCTCAAAGGGGTATGCAAATTTTGGCCTGATCTGAGATTGCTTTCACCGTCTGTACCCAATTCTCGTGATTCTATGATATCTCAGTTGTTGTTGTGCTGAGTGTTTATTTAGCTGATTGACCATATGGCTTGCACATGGGAGGTCGCCATTTTGACTCATTATTTCATCTCCTCTATTTAGGACAACCGAAGGCCCTTCAAAAATGCAAAATCCAGGGTTTCACCTACCCAGGACCATAGTTTTGTACTGTGCTCCACAACCGCAGCAACTACCCTTGGGTGTTTTTATTTCACTTGAAAATAGCCCCACAAAATTCTTGTGCTTCTGGGGATGAGTTTGTTACATGCATGTTGATATCAAATCAATACAAAGACCCTGCCCAGGCTGTTGGTTGTGCCTTCATGGAATGGAATGAACAACATAAAGGGTATCACTGATTTGGGCCTTGGACTCGACCGATAATTATATCTTGTAAATCATATTAATGAAGATGCTTTTTCAAAGCAGGTTATCACCTTTTGACTCCAGACCTTCAAGTGATACCACCTTTGGATGACAATTAGGATTCTCGGCTTACAGAGATGAATGGTATTAACTCCATGAAAAACATGTTATTGCATGGGAATGCCAAAGGAAGTGTGTATATGTGTGATTGTGCCCTTGTGTTGTAGCAGTAGCAGTATTTTAAAAATCACCAATCTGGTTTGGAATCGGGTGGGCACTTGTGTTGTATCTAATGGGATTGGGAATAGGCTTGATCCACCCGGAAAACCCTTTTTTTTTTTTTAATTTGCAATCATATGCTGTTTTTTGTTGTGTTCTTCCTCATTTTGAAGCCATTTGTAGTGTAGTTTGTCGCAAATTCTTCATGTTGAACCCTCTGCAAGATTTGCAATAGTATTTCTTTGGATCAAAACCTTTAATCAGATAAAGATTAAAATTTGGCTGGACTATAAAACCCAAAATGATAAATTTTTTATTTCTCCCTCGTTTGTTTTAACCAAATTCGAATCAAACTTGTCACAAATTCTTCCTCTTTAATATATCTATAATGGTCATAGATATTTGGACGATATAAACACATCATTCATTTGAACTTTTTGATCTCTAGAGGAAATAGGATTTGAGGCTTTGATATATTTTTATTTAAAAATCCTTTGTGATTCAAATTTCAAAAACAAATTTGGATTGATGGGAATCATGTTCAATCAATTTGTGTTTTGATTTGAAATTTTGGATCATTCAAATATGTTTACAAATCATTTTTGGCCTTTTTTTTCGTTTTTTTATTCATTTGATTAAACCAGATTTAATCATTTTCAACCAACTGTTACGTGTTTTAAATTATCATTATCATCATAGCCTTTTCTCAATTAATTGGGATCGGCTACACTAATTGTGGTCCATCATTTTCCTCTATTAAGGGCCATACCTTCAGTGACGCCATAAGTCCCCATATCTTTTCAACCATGTCTTTTTGGGCCTCCCCTTGCTCTTTTTGAGCCTTTCACTTGAACTAACTCGTACCTCCTAACAAGTGTTGTATAGGGTCTGTGCCACACATGGCTAGCCCACCTAAGTTTACTCTCTCTCATCTTATCACCTATTGGTGCCACACCTAAATTTTCTCGAATGGATTCATTTCAAATTCTATCCCTTCTTGGCTTGATACTCATCCATCTCAATATCCTCATCTCCGCTACACTCATTCTATGGGTATGTTATTTTTTGACACCTAATATTCCACCCCATAGAGTAAAGTTGTTTTCACAGCTGTCCTATAGACTTGTCCTTCTGCTTCATTGGTATGCGACGATCACATAAAATTCCTGTTGCATATCTTCACTTCACCCACCCAAGTCTAATTTTGTGTGCGATATCTTCTTCAATTTCTCCATTTTCCTAGATTAACGACCCAAAATATGGAAAATGTAGTCTTTTTGATATTTTTTAGTCATCAATCTTAACTACTTCCACGTCTATACTCTTATTATTACTAAACTTGCTTTTCATATACTATACCTTATTCTGGCTAATTTTAAAACCTTTAGATTCTTGAGCAACCCTCCAAAGTTCTAACTTTGTGTTGAAGCCGTTTGGGTCTCATCGATCAAAACTATATCATCTGCGAACAATATGCACCACGGTACCTCATCCTGTAGATGCCTAGTTAAGTCGTCCATAACTAAGACATAGAGGTATGGGCTCAATGCTAACCCCTGATATAGACCTATTGTCACTGAAAACTCACTCATCTCTCCACTAATTGTTTGTACAGTAGTTAGTGCTATAAACTTATTGTCACTGAAAACTCACTCATCTCTCCACTAATTGTTTGTACAGTAGTTAGTGCTATAAACTTATTGTCACTGAAAACTCACTCATCTCTCCACTAATTGTTTGTACAGTAGTGAGCACTCCATCGTACGTATCTCTCACCAAGTCGATGAAATGTCTAAGTTGTAGAACAGCCTCGGTTGTTGACCTCCCTGGCATAAAACCAAATTGGTTTTTAGATACACTCGTTTCATGCCTTAGTCGTTGTTCAATCACTCTCTCCTAGAGTTTCATAGTATGGCTCATAAGCTCGATCCCTCGATAGTTCACACAATTATGTATGTCTCATTTATTCTTGTAAATAGGTACCACAATATTTTCCTCCATTCGTCTGGCATTTTCTTTTGTTCTCAATCACTCTTTCCGTGTTTTAAATCATTTAAAAAATTATTTGAAATTGTTTACACCATATTTAACGGATATAAAATCATTTAAACCATTGTTTGAAAAACCTCCCGATCTAACCGGTAATTGCCCTGTTAGATCGGAACCGGCCCCTTGCCTAGTCTGGTTTCAGGCAGTTTTGGTGATCGGCTGGTATTTTAAAAATAAAAATTCAAAACAATGTCTATAAAGTCCCAAAAATAAGGAATTTGATTTGTAATACAGTTTTTAATATTTTTTTACAGTATGGTAAGTATTAAAAAAAAATGGTTATTAATACTCACTTTTAAAATCCATTTTTTCATTAATTTTGAACTCCAATTGAATGTGTTTTGTTTTAATCATTCTTTATATGCTTTTCACATTTTAGTAGAAATTTTTTTGCATCTTTTTTATATTTTTCAACAATTGTTTGGCTGCCCGGGACCTGCCCGGTTAGAACGGTTGAATCGGCCAGTTTACCTGTTAGGCCAGTTAAACTGCTCTTGGACCAATGTCCGGTTAACCGTTCCGGTTCGATTTTGCGAACACTGTTTCAAACCAACAAGATTTCAAATTATCTTTGCTTCATTTTCTGTTTTTGTGATTGTTCCTTTTTTTATTTTCCATTCTCTCTCTTTTTTTTTTAATTAATTTGCAATACAATAATCCTTTTTTAAAATCCTATGGAGTATCGTGGTATTATGATTTTTTCCTTTTTTTATTTTTTTAACTTTTCGATTCTCTCTTTTTTTTTTATTAATTTGCAATACAATAATCCTTTTTTAAAGTCCTATGGAGTATTGTGGAAAAACCTTTGATAGTATACACATGTGATCGATGATTTTTTTGGCAGGTGGAAAATCTCACTCGCAAATCCCAGCTTATGGAAGTTGAATTGGAGAGGACAAGGAAACAATTGAAGGAAGCTATGGAAATTGCTGGGGAAGAAACAGCTAGATGTAAAGCGGCAAAGGAAGTAATCAAGTCACTTACTGCACAGGTGGGTGCATTTATTTTTATTAGACATGCTTAAAAATTGAATATTGATTGATTGCTTTTTTAGGACATTAGATGTGTGGTGCATGAAAGTACTTTTGAATCATCCCCTAATTTCTGCTTGCAGAAGAGAAATTTCAGTTCTTGCTGAAATTGCGTTTCTGACGCACGACCTGTAGTTGAAAAAAAGGTTGGGGTAGTGCGCACCCTAGGTTAATGACTTAAAATTATTGCCAAGGAAGTGTTGTCTTTTAATATGCACTATAGATTAAAAGATTAGAGAGAAATAGGTTATGGAGAACAAGGATGAAGGAATGGGTTCATTACTGGAGATTAAGGAGTGAAAAATCTTAAATGGAAATCAAAGGTGGTTAGAAAAGGGATAGCATGCGAGAGAGGAGAGAAAAAATACCATAGAGAAAGGAAGATAAGTAATATCATCTGAGAAGAAATATGATGGAAAAGAAAGAAAGAGGAGATACAAAAACTGCTGCTTGTATTAATAAGTGTGAGGATCACATAAAACAATGGTTTATATACCTTTGTCTTATTATATGTAAGCTGATTTTACGTATGTACTTACTAAATCTCATCCAAATCTAACTTGGATTTATAAAATTGATAAATGAAGATTTCAAAGTGATCTAGGGGAGGAAAGGAACGAGAAGAAAACAGCAATGATGGAGGATAAAAGAGCATATGCAAGCAAGATAAAGATAGAGCAGAGAAAGATGAAAAAAGGGAGTTTATTTTATTTACCCTAATTTTGGAAGAAGTGGCTGAACCAGTTACAAGAAAGGAATGGTGCTAAGAACAAACTTATTTATAGCAATAATTGGAAGTTGTAGCTTTCTCAGAGATGGGAGGGCAGAGCTGCATGGTTCTTTATAGTCATGATCAGAAATGGTATTGGGCTTACCTTGGTCCAGTAGAGCACAAGTGAATCTGGCTGTGGACCAAAAGAAGTAGGACCACTCTTGGATTATTGGAAAGTTATTGAGTATTGACTCACAGAGGTGGGCTTTGCAGGCTTACCACAAGGATTAGGTTTCACTGCTTAACCTAATACTTCTCATTCTGATTAAAATTAAGGGAAACAGATATTTGAAACTTGAGAGAATCCTTATACGGATTCAGAAAAGAAGGTTTAACTTTTTAAGGGTAAGGTGTAGTTATAAAAGCAGAACAAGGTGTAGATTGTATTGCAGTGCTCCCTAGCTGAAGTCTTGACTTATGAGTAGACGACTGTTGTATTGCTGTGTTCCCCATCCAAGTACATCATCTGGCTAGATATCCTAGGAATTGCTCATCCAGAAGCACAAAAGCAGATATAGGAGCACGAGCTACTCAAGTGGAAATTCTTGCAATTTGACAGAATAATGAGATTCAACCAAAAATCTTCAAATCAATTGCTGCAAGGTTGATTTTGTCAAGTGTAAAAGAAAGGCAGATGGCAGTTTGAAGAGCTGTAAACCACTGCATATTGCACTGTAAATGGTAATTAATGTCATAACCAGTTATAACATGACATTTCAGCCTTGGGCTGGTGTCACATGTCGACACCTTAGCATGTGTGGAAACCTCCAGAAATGGGGGGTGATGAAAACGTGTATATAGCTCAAGCCTGGATTGAACTTGGGCCCCTTGTCTAAAAGTCAACTGCTCTACCAATCCACCAACACCGCTTATTTGTGTCATGAATATGGAAATTTTATTTTATGGACTTAAATATGTTATATTATTTTGAAATATAAGTGCATGGATATATTGACTTTCTAGCTGAAGTGTTGGACACCTTTGCCATTCGTCGGACACCGGCAATTTATGTTGGTTGCATGAATCATATATTTTTTTTTGAGAGAAGTGCGCTATAATTGCATTACTTTGCAGTAAAATGTTACAAAAAGATAGTGATGGAAAAGGTCACACTATATAAGCCCGAAAGGGTCCAAAAATTCTACAAAACAAGAACTGAGTTCTGGAGGGCACGGGAGAAGAGAGAAGATTGGCACAGAAGCCTAGGTGTCCGAAGGGGTGTTGATGAAGGCCCCTTCTTTAACCAATTGATCAGCGGCTGCGTTGGCTTCCCTATGGCGTGGCGCCAAGAAATACTGTAGGCACTAGTTAAATGTAGAATCTCTTTAAAAAGGTTGTCGAGGCGCCGACGCCATGATGAGCGATTTGATGCCCAGCAGATGATGTTCTTGGCATCACCTTCCGACATGAAGTTGTGACTCCAAGTGTGATCATCTTGCGAAGGCCCTCCAAAAGGGCAAGGGCCTCAGCTAGAGTGGGGTCAGTGATTCCAATAGGCTGCGAATATGGCATAAAAAGTGCAATCTGTTGTAGCTGCTGTGAGAAATGCATTTTTTAATAGTTATCTTGATGGAGAGATGTTCATGAGGCCTCTTAAATGTCTGAGAAAGTATAAAACCACAGTAAATTGAAGAAAGGCCTTCATGGGCTAAAAACTGCTAACATAGGCTTCCTGAGCATGATGTGGGAAGATTGATGTCTCCTCTTTGTGGGTTATCAATATCTGTTGTAAACTCATCTTTTAATTTTCAAAGCAATTGAGATTTAATAGGTACTATTTGTGACAAACTTGATCTTCTCAGTACTATATCTCTGTCAATTTTCAGAACAAGTTTGATGGATAGCATCTCTATATTTTTGTTCCAGCAATTTCCCGCAATGATTGGATCTAATGGAACTATTTAATTAGCATGCTATTCAAAGTTTCAGACCTCATACAAAGCACCTGGTGATAGTGAGGCATTGGTCAATACTATTTATGTCATCATCATCATCCGAGCCTTATCCCAACTATTTGGAGTTGGCTACACAAATCCTGTTCCGCCATTCTTCTCTATCAATAGTCAATATGGTCAAATACTATTGATATATTAAACTCTAATTGCTTGTTTTAACAACTTGACAGACTTGCAGCCTGGAATCAATTTTGCAGTAGGCATTTCTGGAAAGAGAAGTTCTAGTAAGCAATGTAGAAAACCCAAGGAGACATTGGACCTGTGTAGTGAAAAATCAATATTAGGATCACTTTATGTAGAAGCCTACAAGGTCACACTTGATCTAGCTTGCCCATTGCATGTGCGGATCTCACTTACCACTCACTGCGCATGTGATGCCATGGGCTTTTTGATATAATCAAAATTTTGTCCATTCCATGCTATCTTTTTGTAAAAAAATTGGTTGCTTCACTATAGATAATTAAAACTAAAACCGACTGTGAAAAAATAAAATTTAAAATTCTTTTTTTTTGGGGGGATAAAGTCTCTCTTTCTATTACTGGTAAAGAAATCTACATCTTACATGTTGCTGGATCTGTATGTCTGGGTTGCCCACACAGTCATGAAGCAAAAATACCAAACATATATACTATGGTGAGAAACCAAAAAAAAAAGAACATACAAAAATTTAAGACTGTTTTGTGTTCACTACAGAATGGCTTTGAATCACACCTTCCTAAGCTAGGGCATTTGCAGTGGCATTTGTCTCATGCCAAGTATGCTTATATGAGATTTGAAGGTTGCTGGAAATAGGAAAATTTGGTCGAACAGCTGTTCCATATGCCAAGGCCATGGGCTCTGCCTCGTGGCCGATATGATAACGTTAATGGAAGGCCCTACTACTTCGAGGGAGGGTCCTCTATTGCTGTCATACATTTTGAGGCTCTCCAAAAGAGCTACTGCCTCTGCCTTTATAGAGTTTGACGTAACCGTGGTGTTGATTTTTCTCCTTCTATCTAATCTCCTTTCCTTGCTTTAAAAAATTATGCTCAAGCCATATCAACCAGGTGCGGCCATGATGGAAAAACTCTGTAGGAAGAGACCAGTCGAAGGGAATGGGGACAAGAAGTATGCTGAGAATGGTTGTTTGGCACTTGTTTGCCGTACTCCTAGCCATTTGAAAATTCCCCACAGAAAGGCCTGCAGCTGGATGACCAGACAATGCACGAATCAGTGGTCCATGACTTGTACGCTTTGACTGGTTCGCTATTCATGGAAATCCATTCATGTATATGGAGTACACAGTGAAGATACTGGAGGAGGTAGGGGCCCAAATGATCTTATCTCTTCCCTCTTACAACATCTCCTGATTATTGAGAAGGTCACTAGTGCAGTCAAGATTGGGATTTTTGAATCCCAAGGATTTCTTTGAAAGCATGGAACGACACTAATGGCCCCGAGAATCTCATTGGATTGCTCAATAGAGGCATTTCAATCTATATCAAGTGGAGCAAATGAGGGAATAGACTTTCAAGAGGGTCATCTCCAGCCCATAATCCTTCTATAGTCATATTTGCGCACCTGTTTATGACGACTGGTTCTATTAGAGAAGTTTTATAGACAATGGATATACCCCTCCAAGCACTGGGCACATGATTGACTATAGGGGGTCTCTAGAAAGCAGCCTGACCGAGCCATGCCATACTTATCCCAAATGACACACTGCCAATTCCCAATCTGTGTTGCATATCTCCACCACCACTTACTGAGTTGTGCCAGGTTGCACTCTTCTAAAGTCCTAATACCTTGCTGACCATCCCTCTTAGGTTTGACAGGCCAAGTTCGACTTTGCCAATTGAGATTTCTTTGACTCCTCTAATCCGAACCATAAAAATCTCTCACTAGATGCACGAACCTGTAAGGAATGGGCATGGCATCCGGAAGAGGGACATGTGGAAGATTAAGATTTTAGAGAGAGTGGCCTTGATGAACAGTAATCTGCCTCTAAGAAATTAGAATCTTGTTTGATAGTTTCCTAGGCAGACATCCTTATCCCGAGTTTTACCCCCACTCCATCCCATTTTGATTTTCTTTGTCTGCCTGAAAGGAGTGGCTACGTGGAATTCAAGGTAGTAAATTCAAATTTTTTTTTTTTCTTTTATTCAATATACTTGAATTCCACTTACATGGGCTATTAAACACTGCTGTAAATCAAAATTAGAACCTTAAACACAACCTATGATCTATAGTTTTA